AATGGGGGGAAAAAAATCTTCTAAAAGTAACATTTAAGTAACTATGTGCAATGCATTTTGTATCCATGTTTGGTGACTATCCACTTTATTTCAGAAAGTTAAGTGCTTTAAGCTGTCTAACAGCCTGTATCTCCTTTAAAAAGCATGACTGCATTGGAACAGCTTCTTAGCAAGGGCATCTGCTGCTGGAACTCTATGTCTGCCTGGATAAACACCTGGATGGTGGGAAGGGGAGGTACAGAGGTGCTCCAGGCCCAACGCCTCGGGCCCCCTGACGTGGGATCTGAATTTGACCTGCCTCACTGGGAGGCAACTTTACAGGAAAATCTCAGATTTGTTAAACTTTTAGACTTGACTACAGCACACTGTCTGTAAAAACTGGTTTTTGCCATTCTTACCCCAAAATCATTAAATAATAAACACCAAACACAGAATTATTTCCATTTTTTAAAGATATTAAGCATCGTTCAATAACCCAGTAATGCCTGTTAGTAGTTATCTAAATAATATTACACCTACTTTGCAGAAAGTATCATTCCTTCCTCCATTTGTTTATACAGAGAGAGAGAGAGAGAGAGAGAGAAAGAGAGAGAGAGAGAGAAAGAGAGAGAGAACCTAATTACAAAAAAAGATTTTTAAAGGACTAAGATTTCCCAGTCACAGCTCTGCAGTTCTAGTCTCAGCTGGATCTACCAAGGCAGACAGGAAAAGCACACAGTGACAGGCCTTGGGTTCTAATTTTTCCTCCACCATACGAGCTCCGCTGCCTGAGGGACTTGACTGAGCCTGCCTGAGTCTACAAACTCTTAAAAATTATCATAGGTTCAATTACTACAATCTTCCAAAGTATCTCCTTTTGGGTAGACAAGTTTGCAGGAACAAACTTTCCTTAGGATTAACCCATCAGGTATCAACACTTCACAAAAATGTGGATAAATTTTCATACAGTCACTCATTTAAAAAATACACACTGTGCAAAACATAGCCTACAACATGGTGATAAATCCTGTAAGACATTCTTAGCAGTCATCCTATTACACATCTGAGAGTCTCAGTTAACAACAAAAATTACTCAACATACATACACATATAGGGCACATGATCTGTTGTGCAATAACGACAGGAAAACTCCGCAACAACCTCCAGCATTTCAGCCCTTGACAAGAACCAGAAATTTCACAGCTGCTTGTGCTTCTTTTCTCACGTCTAAGACAAAGGAGGAGGACACTGTGTATATCGAGGGTCTACATAAAATGCATCACTACATTCTGACACTTTATACAATACATAAAATACTCACTAATGTGAGGTATTGATCTATCTATCCACATATCAGAAATATATATATTTCTGTTTTAAGGCCATAAACGTCTGCATTTTACAACTCAACTTCTCTTTAGGGGCCTCCCCGGTGGCGCAGCGGTTGGGAAGCTGCCCGCAGCATCTGCAGAGCCGGTTCGATTCCCGGCCGCTGGGCAAGGGTCCCACATGGTGCGCAGACCTCTCCTGCCACGCCTGCTGCTCCCCTCAGCAGTGTATTTCGTCAGCCTGCCTGTTCTGCTCCCCGCTCTGGCTCTGGTGAATTATCTCACCCTCCCACGCTTCTGACTGTACCCAGTGCTTGTATAAATAAATAAATAAATCTTTAAAAAAACAAAAACAAAAAAAACCTTCTCTTTAGGTAAAGTGATTTCAAAGTGGACAAACCCTACACATAAGTAATTCAGCTTCAGAGACCTTTCCAGTCAGTTAAATGACTTCTATTAAATTTTTATTAACTTTTAAGGCAAAAGACAGTCCCATTTTAATTCAATATTTACAAAAGGTTAACTTTTACCAAAAGAAAATTGGCTTCACCTGAACTCTTTCATGCCTACAATGTTGTTAATTGTAAATCAAAGTGACAGAAAGTGCTCACTACATCTGCAATTCCAAGCCTAGAAAGGAGACATTTCAAACAAAATACAAGACAGATAAGGTTAAAGTTACCATTTTGGACACACTGTTTCTATCTAAAGGTCTGTAACCGTCCCCTCTAATGACTAACCTTGTCTTCTTCCTCAAGGTATTCTGTAAGAATCACAGATGAGGTTAGAGTCTGAGTTTAAAGTAAGTTTGAAATTGAAGATTTTTTTTTTTTGCATCTGAAAGGCCCATCAATTACAGTCCAGGCTTTTGTCTTAAGAGACTCTATCCACAGCATTATCATCCCAGAACAACTGTCTAACATTTAAAAGACAGCAGTTCACTTTGAGTTCAACAGCGTCCTGGAAGTTTTGTTGTTGAGTAAAAGAACGCAAAAGCCAGGGACAGGAGGTCAGGACATGAAGCGGTTTCAGGGCACAGCCCAGGCGGAGGCTCACCGGGGTTCAAAAGAGGACTGACCCCGGCTAGCTGCTGTCTAATAATTTTCAAAACACGGTTTCTCCTCTACACAACTTACCAAACAGAAACAACAACAAGAGTGACCATTCACCCAGCCCCTGCCTGCAGTCAGGATGCTGGTCACTTCACCGCCGCCAGGCCCCTCCTCCCGGAGCAGCGCTAAGGAGCCTGGCGGTCACCAGCTCAGTCACCAGCTCACGGGGAGAGAGCAGGGGCTGGGCGGGAGACAGAGCTGCTCGGTGGCAGAGCCAGACCGCCTGACCTCAGCTCACGCTCGGCTCGCCTTACTAAGCAACACCGTCCACAAAGTTCCTAAGCATGAAAATCAGCAAGAAGTTCCCCGAAGAGGTGCCCAACTGTTCTCGACTCCACAAGCGTCATGGCTTCCCTGAAGCAACACAGAACGGCGCCGATGCACCCCCCTGCGCTTGAGTTAACCCAGCCTTATCGGGAGGGTGGGAGTCACAAGTCATTCCCCACCTCCAGGGAGTATCAGAAACTTCACAGCTGGCGGAGCAGCTGCGCGCGGGCTGGCCTTTCCCATAAAAGAGACACTGGAGCCTCCCCCAAAGCCTCCCTTGCCGGCCTCACGATGGGAGACACCCCGCCCTCCCGGGCCCCGCGCACAGACCAGGGGTGAAGCGGGCGCTGCCACTCGGGCGCACCAGAACCTCCTCCAAGGATGCCCGGGGGCTGGGCTCGGGCTCTCCAGCGTCACTCAGGGAGGACTCAGAGTCACAAGCCCCACACTCGCGCCTCTCACAGGAGCTGCGTGTGCATCGCGCCTGTCGCCAAACCAGTCGGGCAGCTGGCGAGGGAGAGCCCCGCCGCCCTCAGGACAGCCCAGGGCTCAGTCCCGACAAGCGCAGCCCGGCCGCTCAGACCCGGCCGCGGAAACTCGGGGCTGGAAAGACAGACCGACCCCACCTCCCGCCTCCTTCCCCGGCAGCCGGAGCAGCAACTCAGTCACCCCCTCCCCGCCCCGGGACACCTCCCGCGGCTCCCGGGTCCTCCCCGCGGGCCCAGCGCCTTCCCTCGTCCCCGCGAGGAGCCCGCGCGTCCCCCGCCCGCGGAGAGAGCTGGGGTCACGCAGGGACCCCCGCCCCGGGCCTGCCGCCCGGTCAGCTCGGCCTGGGTCCCGCGGGGCCTGAGCGGGGGCCAAACGCGGGCTGATTCGCCCCCCCTCCCCCCGACTCCGGCCCTGCACGGGCGGGGCTCTGACCCCCGGCGAGCGAGCGGCTGCCCACAGGGCCAAGGCCAGGCAGCCCCAACCCCCGCGCCCCGAAAACGGGACGGGCCCCCCGTCTCCCTTCCGAGCCCTCCGCGCAGGCCGCGTCCTCCCTTCGGGCCAGACCGGCCAGGGGCCCTTCGCTGCCGGCGGCGACTCCCCGCCCCGCGCGCCCCCCCCGCCCCGCGGGGACGGCACCCCGGCCTGCGCCCCTTCACCCCACGGCACCCGCCCCGCGCCCCTCACCCCGGGGACGGCACCCCGGCCTGCGCCCCTTCACCCCGGGGACGGCACCCCGCCCCGCGCCCCCACCCCGGGGACAGCACCCCGCCCGCGCCCCTCACCCGGGGCACGCGCACCCCGGGGACGCCCCGCGCCCCTCACCCCGGGGACGGCACCCCGGCCTGCGCCCCTCACCCCGGGGCACGCGCCCCTCACCCCGCCCCGGCCTGCCCCTTCACCCCGGGGACGGCACCCCCCTGCGCCCCTGCGCCCCCTCACCCCGGGGACGGCACCCCGGGCCCCTCACCCCGGGGACGGCCCCGCCCCGCGCCCCTCACCCCGGGGCCTGCGCCCCTTCACCCGGGGACGGCACCCCGCCTGCGCCCTCACCCCGGGACCGCACCCCGCCCCGCGCTCACCCCCGGGCCCGCGCCCCTCACCCCGGGACGACACCCCGGGCGCCCCTCACCCGGGGACGGCGCCCGCGCCCCTCACCCCGGGGACGGCACCCCGGCCCGCGCCCCTCACCCCGGGGACGCACCCCGGCCCGCGCCCCTCACCCCGGGGACGGCACCCCGGCCCGCGCCCCTCACCCGCCCCCGGGGCACCCCGGCCCGCGCCCCTCACACCCCGGCCCGCGCCCCTCACCCCGGGGACGACGCGCCCCTCACCCCGGCACCCCGCGCCCCTCACCCCGGACGGCACCCGGGGACAGCACCCCGGCCCGCGCCCCTCACCCCGGGGACGGCACCCCGGCCCGCGCCCCTCACCCGGGGACGGCACCCCGGCCCGCGCCCCTCACCCCGGGGACGGCACCCCGGCCCGCGCCCCTCACCCGGGGACGGCACCCCGCCCCGCGCCCCTCACCCCGGGGACGGCACCCCGGCCCGCGCCCCTCACCGGGGACGGCACCCCGGCCCGCGCCCCTCACCCCGGACGCACCCCGGCCCGCGCCCCTCACCCCGACGGCACCCCGCCCCGCGCCCCTCACCCCGGACGGCACCCCGGCCCGCGCCCGGGACGGCACCCCGGCCCGCGCCCCCCGCCCGGGGACGGCCCCCGCCTGCGCCCCCGCCTGCGCCCCGCCCCGCCCCGCCCCGCCCCCCCGCCCGCGCAGCGCGGGCCCCGCCGCCCCAGGCCCGGCCGCCGCGGGCCGCGCACGCACCGCGATGACATTGACGAAGGTGGTCTTGCCCGAGTACTGCAGCCCCACGAGCGTGAGCTCCATCTCCTCCTTCCAGAAGAGCGAGCGGAACCAGTCGAGCAGGCGGGAGATGAGCGCCAGCATGGCGGCGGCGGCGGCGGCCGGGCCTGGCCCGGACCCCAACGGCTCCTCGGCCGGCGCGACGCGGCGGACTCGGCGGCGGCGGCGGCGGCCGAGCAGGAAGCGCGGGTCACGTGACGCGCCGCCCCGCCCGCGCCCGCCGAGAGCGGCCCCGCCGCGCCCGCCGCCGCCGCCCGCCGCGCGCAGCGCCCCCTGGCGGGGCCCCCGCCCCGCGCCCCGCGCCCGCGCCCCGCGCCCCGCGCCCCGCGCCCCGCGCCCCGCGCCCCGCGCCCCGCGCGCGGGGACCCCGGGGTCCCGGTCCCGGTCCCGCCCCCCCGCGGCCCCGGCGGCGCGGAAGGCGGGAGGCGGGAGCCAGGGCGGGGACGCCGGCCGCCCCGGGGGAACCCCACGCGGCCGCCAGAACGGCCAGAGGAGCCGCTCCGCGCTGGCGGGGCGCCGCGGGGCCTCTGCGGGGGCGCGTCGCCCCCAGGGGCCGCCCCTGCACCCGCCGGGCGCCCGGGCACCCTGGCCGCCAGACTCGGGCTGGCTCCGTGCTAGTTGTTCTTTTTTACTGAATGTGTCGTTTTTAACCGTGTGAGTGGGTCGCCGCGCCAATTTTTTAAAGATTTATTTTATTTATTTACGCATGCATGCAAGAGCTGGGGTGCAGGCCAGAGGTGGGGTGCGGTGGGTGAGAGGATCCACCAGAGACAGAGTGGGGAGCAGAACAGGCAGACTGACTGAAATGCACTGCTGAGGGGAGCAGCGGGGAGGCAGGAGAGGTCCGCCGCGCCGTGGGGGTAGCTCCCTGGCCGGGGATCGAACTCAGGCCGCAGTGGCTGGCGCTAGTTGATAGCACTGAGACTGAACCCCTGCACCACCAGGGGTTAAGTGAGGAACCCAACGTTCCTCAACCTTTACAGCTATCATAGTCCACCACCAGACTCATGAGTTTATAGAAAACTCATTTCTCATCTCCTGATTCTGGTTTCCCATTTTAAAAAAACTTCATTAAATAATTTAACTGTAAAAGTATAATGTGATGGTTGTAAAAAAGCAAAGGGTGCAGAGGTGTGATAAGATAAAGGAAATCCTCTTGGCGCCCCCAAACCTGTCTCTGAAGCTACCCACTGCAACAGTTTACTCTTTTTTGATCAAATAAATGTTCACAGGCAGGGTCGGGCCCCCACACCTGCATGGTCTAAATGGGTTCTGCCAGCCACCACAAAAAGACAAAATATATTCCTAGTGCATAAGACCCTCAATAGAAAGAACTTTAATAGAATTAGTGTGCAATAGAGAGAAGAGAAACAATATAGTTTTCAAATGAAGCACCCAAAGCTACCCATCCCCTTGTGGGTAAATGCCCAGTCAAATAGGGTTGCCCCGAAGTGGGGCCACTGAGGCCTGAAAGCTGCCCCAAGTCCAAGGCAGCTTGTGGTGGGGCCCCATAGGAAAGGGACAGGAGGGGCCAGGCAAGTCTGGGATCAACAGAGGAAAACAAAAGTACAAGTCAAGATAAAGGCTGCCACTGTCGGCCTCCCCCGGTCGCACACCCACGTCTCTGTCTCTTAAAGTGTGTCCTTCCCAGCCCCCCAAGTCCCTGGTGCCAGCCCCAGGCCCAGAAGCAAGAGCACCTTCTTCACATGTCTCCACTCCACGTGCCTCCTCCGGGCCTCCTCCTCCAGCCTTCTCGCCCAGGTTCTTTCAAGCTTCCCCTGGCTCAGCTCCACCCTTCCTTAGGTGGGGCGGGGAACCTGGAACCTCCACTTTGGATGGGAATTACACTGTTACATAAACACTTAAGCCCATCAGTGGGGTGGAGAGTTTCCTCTTATGCACAAAGTTTGGAACATGTTGTGGGAATGACTCAATCACATCCTTTGTTCACTTCCCTGATTGCCAAATGCATTTTATTAAAAATAAAATCATTAAACACTCAAAATTCATCGTTTCCTCATATTCTACTACAGTATACTATTCTGTGTGGTCTTGAAGTTATTTCCATGCACGGTGTCCATCTGCTGGCAATAGCGTATCGTGAGAGCTACTGAAGTCTCTTCCCAACTCTGGAGTCACCAGTGTCACCTCGGTAGCTTGAAATTGGCCGGAGCAGGAATATTGACACCATGGAAATTGGCAGACACTACACATCGGCCATCCCTGCTCCCTACAGACTGGCTCATAATACCAAATTCATAGCATTTGAGTAAGGGCTGAATAAAGCAACATGAAGTTGGATGGATAAGGCGAGGAGACACATACCACATACAGCCTACAGTTAGATGGCTTGTTCCCCTAGCAGCTCCTCGGCCTGTCTGCTGTGGGACCTGGGCAAGCTGCTTAACCTCTCTGAGCCTCCATGCTCTGCAAAGGGAGATGATCTTGCTGTCTGCCTCAAAGGTCTATTATGGGGAGCAGATGAAGGTGCGCGGAGGGAGCTCTTCTAGCAGAGCCCAGCACAGCATTAGCGTCCCCACAGCGCTAGTTACTGTTTCTGAAACACAGCAACTCAGCTCAGTCTCTCCTCCATAAGACAGGGCTGCGAGGATCCCCATCTTACTCAGTGTTGTAACTGAGGAGGCATTTCCTACAAGAGTCGGTCCAGCAGTGGACAAAGTCCCGGGGGGGGGGGCCTGCCCTTTGAATGTTGCATAGAATTAAGTTCAGGGGAATGTGGGGTCACGCACTCAGCCCTGTTCCCCAGTGGTGTGTAAAGATCAGGAATCCTAGTGCCCTGGGAATGCAGGTGCTGAGACGGGGGCAGGAGATAAGAGTGACCTGTGTTGGCCACGAGGCTGTTGTGTAAGAGGGTAAACTCGACGGAGCGGAGCTTCAGGCTTCCTTGCAGAGCATTCTGGTTTCAGCCAACAGAGGAAATGTCACAGTTCAGGATGAGATTTTAACTTATAACCTCCCAGAAGGCAGGGACCGCGTCTACCTAATCCAGGGAAGCCTCTCTGAGTAGATGAGCCCGTCAGTGGGGGCTCCTACAGTCTCCTGGGACTTTGTTTCGGTAGAATCGCATTTGAAATGGGCGTGACACGTTCCAGATGCCTCCACCCTCGCCTGATCATTGGCCTCGCGGCATCTCCGGCCCCAGTGCCCACACCTGACCCACAGGAGCTCTCTGTACCTGCCCGAGTCAGAGAGGAGCCAGGACTGCCCCTCAGCCAACATGTCACTGCCCCCCCAAACCTGGAAGGGTCAGAATGTCAGCCCTGTCTTTTCAAAGGACAGAGGAGAACTCCGGGAAAGGAAAACAGGGGTCCTGGCGGGGCTGAGAAGGCAGCTGTTCTCCCGCCGAGCTCAGCAGCCGCACCGTAAGTAAGGCTGAAGCCTGGGGAGCACCATCCGCGGAGCGCGGCCACTGAGCAGACCCACAAAGTGGCCTGGAGCATTTGAAGCTTCTCCTCCTCCCCTGGGAACGCACCTTCCCTGATCAGCCTCCAGGGAGTATGTCACGAGGAGGGGTGACGTTGGGCCATCTGAGCCAGCCGCGTGACTCGGCCCAGTTAAAGCCTCTATAAAACACTGCCACTTGGCCGGGGGTGGCTCAGAGAATTGCTCATTTTGCAGCCGCCCCAGACAGTGCCTCGTGAGGAAATCCCAGTCCATGAAAACTGCTCCCTGCCCATGGGGGGCACCTCGCCTGCCCTCCGCAGCTGGGAGCGGCTTGCAGATGACACCTGGGACACACCTGGGCCCACACACACCCACAGGCCCGAGAATCCCAAAGGCAGAAGACAGGCCCTCCCCACTGCTGGCATTTGGAAAACGCCCTCGCCTCTTCTAGCCGGAGTCCGGTGCAGGCAACCACGTCTGCCTGGCCCGCCGGGTGCTTGGGAGCTCAAGGCAGCCCCAGGTGTGCGCCCTCGCCTGCTGTTTACTTCTCAGCCGGGGATGCCAGCCTCGTGGGACCACTCCCTCTTCTGAGCTCCCGCGACGGGCAGGCCGCCCAGAAAATGCTCCCTGGAGTCCCCTCCTCCTGAGAGCGCCCCTGGCTCACCTGCCCTCACACGCTGCGTGGAAGTGCTGCGTGCACACCCGGGCTGCCACACGGAGGGCTTCCTGGCAGCGCCGGCCTCCTCCTGGCAGGTGCCCACGCCGCTGGCCTCGCCCCAGTGAGGCGCCCAAATATCTCCAGACACTGGCAGGTAGCCCCGGGAGCAAAAATGTCCCCCGCTGAAAATGATGGATTCCACACAGTCCTTTCCCAGGCCCCACCGTCCTGCCCCAGACCCGGTGCGCCGAGGGCCTGGCGGAGGCCCCTCAGGAGTGTCCGGGGCTGACGCTGCCCGGAAGGCCCGGGATGGCCCACACAGGGGAGGCAGAAAGAGGATCAGCACGCGCCGGTCTGCTCTTGGAACCGCTCTCCAGACAAGCACCCCGAACCCTGCACCCCCGGCACCAGCAGCCCCCGGGGGGTCGGAAGCCCTGTGCCCCTCCCCCCGCTCCTCCCCCTTGGGGAGCAAAACATCCTGCTCAAACTCACCGCACCTACTAAGAAACTGAAAAAAGCAAAAAATTATTTCAGAACTGAAAGAAGAAAAATGTTTCCCTGCCCCCCCGCCCCCCCAGCCCCAGCTGCAGACGCGCCGCTTGGAAGGGACACCCGAGAGCGGCAGGTGTGTCTGGTGGGTGTGCCCGCGGGAACTCAGGCGGGGCACGGACCTCGGAAGTGGTGCCCACAGGGCTGGAGGCCGGAGGCTGGAAGTGGGAGATCCGGTGTGGGCAGGGCCGGGGAGGGGGGAGGCCTGTTCTGAGCCCCCCATGCCCTCCCCCAGCCTACAGTGGCGTGTGGGAGCTCGCCCACCTCAAGTGAAGCTTCGTGTGCCTCCTCCTTGTGTATGCTGAGCCCAAGGCCCCTTTTTACTGACCGAGGCCCGGCCCCTCATCTTGAATCTTCACGCAGTAACTCTGGTCAATGACTCCTTACCTCCAGATCAGGCTGCCTGGAGGTGCTGCAGATTAGGACTTCGGCACTGGGGTCACCATCCCATCCCTCACACTGTCCCCTATTCTTTCTGGGAAGGAGGAACTTGGTATTTATCCAAAATGGGACCCTTTTGGCCT